GACCTCATTTCCTCAAAAAAGAAGTAAGTGTTAAACTACTTATTCCTACGTTGCAATATTGTGGGTGCAATCAGAGAAGGCAAAGTTTTGGCTCTCTCCAGGCTTCAGGACTTGACAGACAGAGATCTAGCAAAGCAGGAAAGGGAGAAGATCCTGAACAGTCTGGAAGCATTTATCTTTGAGACACAGGTTAGTGACTCCAGCTCAATGCCGGCTGTCGCTGAAGCTTTTCTCCTTTCTGAACCAGAGCTTAGTGTGCCACCTGATGTCTGCAGGACAAGCTTTATCAGGAGGACCACCAGCAGGTGGCGACAAAGGAGGAGCAGGAGCAGATTTTGAGCAAGCTGAAGGAGACTTCTGACTGGTTAGACGAGGAGGGCTATGGTGCCACCACCAGGCAGCTGAAGGAGAAACTGTCTCAGCTCAAAGGGTTGTGTAAGGACATGTTCTTCAGGGTGGCGGAACGAAGGAAGTGGCCGGAACTGCTGACAGACCTCGACAACACACTCAACACATCCAATTTCTTCCTCAGGTCAGTCCAACACCACTAACCGTGCCAGTCACTGTGGGTGCAATGTAACCCATAGCAATTGTAGAAGATAGAAAAACTATTTGAAACCAGTTTAGCAGAGGCCCAAAATGCTTGAGTTTAGTTCACTGTGAATCTATCCGCTTTATGATGTTAATGTCACAGACAAACATGAACCTCATGGAGTGAAATCTCCAGACCTCAAGCTTGCAGAGAACTTGTCTCTGAAGGCAAAGCCCAGAAATGTTGGAAAATTGTAGAAAGTACTTTGCTCATCCTTTGCTGGAATACTTTTTAGTGGTTGCGGTGCTTATACACTTGAAAACTAAATATTCAAGCATTTTTCACTTCTCTCAGTAAAAAGACTAGAGCTTGTCAATTTTGAAACGGCTATTTTCCTCACATGTGCCTTGTTCTCAATGCATCCGTCTCTACAGAAATACATACTTGCTTAAAGCACTATTTTGAACTCAGCTGTGTGAAAACATTTCTGTGGTTTTTGATTGACGTCTCTGCTTTACAGGGGGGCCAAACTGATTCCAGGGGATGACCAAATATTTACAGAAGTTGAGCTAAATATGTTGGAAAAAGTTATCAATGAAACTACGGTAGGTGGTTCATGTCAGTCTGTGTTGTTATTGTGACAGATTGAAGGCGTTGTGCTGCTGATCATCAAGAATTCTCCAGTTTCTACAGTTTTCTCTGCTGGTTTATTTCTGGAAAAGGCCACATCAATTTGAACTGTCTTACCCCACTGCGGGTTTCATCTCTTTTTGTTGTTCTATGTATTCTATTATTGTCTTAGTTGCAAAGCTAAAATATGTGTTCTATTTAGTTCTGGTAAACTGACCTTCATGTTGGTATTTTTGTGCTGCAGGTTTGGAAAAACGAAACGGTGGCAGTGCAGGAGAAGCGATCTCCGCATGAACGGCCAGTCCTGCTGTCCAGAGACATCGAGTCTAAGCTGCTTCTGCTGCAGCGGGAAATGAATTACTTGCTGAACAAAGCCAAGTTCGCAAAGCCAAAGCCTAAACCTAAAGCCAAGAATGAAACAAGCACCGATGCAGGCTACAAAGTCAATGCCACAACAGAAGACGAAAGCAAGAACCTAAAGACTGGTGGGTTTTTAGCTGAGCAGGTCCCACTATTAGTTGTACTTATTGTGTGGTAGACTTTATAGAATGATTTTATCTCACAGCAGAAAGCTTAGAAGAACAGGAGCCAGGTGAATCTCCCCCTACTGAAGAGAGCACTTCACATACAGCTACTGATAGCCAATCACAACCCACAGAAGAGAGCCTGAGCAAAGGTTAGTCTATCGCAATTACCTTGGTTATCCAAAATAACCAAGGTAACATGGAAATGCAAAGTAAAATTTACCGGATCACAAAATAATAGAAACTTTTTGTTTATTGAACGTTTTTCTGAGCATGTGGCCAAATGTACTTTTTAGGTGTTCCTCAACTTTTAAGAAAATTACATTAAGAATTTTGAAACATGACATTTTCAAGACTAGGACATGGGTCTGCAACTTTTAGAAAGAGACATTTTTGTCCAACCTCATTAAAACCAGTTTAGAGGCACAAATGCTATGACTTACTGAAAAGCAGAAAACTTGTTTTACAAAAATATCAGAATATAGAAAAATTATTTTCAAATGGCTACAAATTTTTTATTATTATTGTCATTATTTATAGGTTTAAAATAAAGATTAGGGATTCTGGAAAAATGATTTTTCTCTAATCTTTTAATCATTTTGTATAAAACTAAAATAGTTGCTTGTGACAGCAGGGGGCACATTTGAGTAAGTTCTTGATTAAAGTCAAGCATTTGCCACTGGATTGTGTACAGCAGTACTTTCTCCAGTCAGCAACAGCAGTAAGTAGTTGGTCTTGAGGGGCCTCTAAAATCAGAATTGCCATCTAACCAGCTGAGATAACTGACTGCTCTGAGTGAAAATAAGTAAATATAAAGAGCAGCGTTCCTCGAAAGCCAGGCCTAACTCTCTCCTCCTGTTTGTTCCTGTTTAGAGTCTGCAGAGAGTGCTGCGCATGGAAACCATGTTGAAGATGAATTATAACAACTGGACCTGAGGCAGGAAAAGAAAATCGCTATTTATTGACACATTTTCAACTTTGTTTGCCTTTTTTAATTTTCCCTTTTTTTTATAGCCCTGTTTGTTCAGTTGCTGGGCGGAAGGAATATAGACTGGAGAATATTCCTTCCGCTTCTTCCCTCCCTACCACTTTGTCCCTTCATACCTTCTGGTCTCTTTGGAGTTTGTGAACATTGGACATTTTAAAGAAGTAGGTTATGAATAAATACAGCCTCAGAGACCACTGGTGCCCTGAAATACTGCACAAAATATGTCAAGCTTAAAGTCTTGGTCTCTGTTTTTCAAAACTGTTAGATATGTAAATAATTTTGAAATGTTTGAATAATTTGACCTTGGCTGACCAGTTGGTCTGGAATGGTTTAAAATTCCTCCGGCTTCATCCACAGCAGCTGTTGTGAAGAGACTAGAGACTGGCACTTAATAAAATAACCTTTTCATTTTGTTTTATTTGGCAAAAAATTTAAAATGGAAAAGCTCTAGAGTTATATTTGCAAAAAAAAATGAACAGAGATGAAGCAATCTTTATATACAAGTATATCAGCAGTAATTACCATGTTTGTTATTATAAATGATATTTGCAGAGACCAGCTTGAATGAACAGGGCAAGTTTTAATGCATCAACAAACTGGAATACTTGAAGCAACATCTCCAGACGTCCAGCAGCATTTTCACTGAATCATTTGAATATTGGAGATATTGCTGCCTAGTGGACTCTACATTAGCAGAGCTCGGTCGGTGTGCTAGCATTCGTTTTTTTGGTTCTAGTTACCAGCACAGATGCGATTGAGCTTTATTAAAAGAAAAATATTTGACCAGGCGTGGTCTGTCACGTAGCTATGAAACTATAAGTATTGCAAATGATTAGTCCAGTCACTAGGTCTGCTCATCAGTCAGTCTTTCTCTTACTTAAAGGCAATGGTAAATATATGTGTGAAGTGTCATTGGTTTTCACTGTTATACACCTAGAGTGGGGTTTTTTGTTGTTTTCATTTCTCTTTAAACTTGTTCTTGTGCTAAATTGGAGCTGTTGCCAGTTGTCTCATGAACTGAAAAGATCAATCTCTGTACTGTAAAACTGGTTCTGTCTAAGTCTGGTCAGAGAAAGAAGAGATTCTCATATAGAACCCACTAACCAATAAAATTTGAGTTTTACGTTTAAAATTCTGGAGTTAGTGTCAGTTGTAGGCTAATCAAAACACTGATGTAACATCAGGCCCCTCCTGTAATGTTGAGAATTTGACTGATGTGTCACATTGAGTTTCTACAGTCCCATTTTTCACTTCATAGCTGTAGATTCATTTGGACTCACTGTTGGTGCACAATAGAAATAATGGGATCTGTTAAGATAAAATGTCTCAGCAAGAAGTGAAAAAATGATTAAAAGTAGGTTGAAACAGTTGTTAGAAATGATGATGTGGCAAACTAAATAATTCAACCGGCTGTAGTTTTATAGTACCTGGTTGGTGTTGGTCTGTCTTTACCACTTTAGTTCAAGAAACACACTTGTGATGCAGATTGTTACCACATTGGCTTAACCAGAACAGCCTTGAGGGGAGAGGGGCCTTTAGGTTTAATTTGTGATTCTTTGAAGGGAATAACTAAATGCAGTAAAAAGAGATGAAATATTTGTTTCTAAACCACAAATTTATTATTTTTTTTTTTTAGTATGAACTCATTTTTGATTTTACTTTGGAGTGACTGTAAAAGTTGAACGTGTCCCTGAGTTCATTGCAACATCTGATTAGATTCAGTTCTAAGATATTTTTAAAAGCCTAGCAACTTTCTAATGCCATCTGTGGTGTAGGTAGTCAACACAGCTGTACCTATGCTATATTTTGGGAGGGAACATATCGGATTTATTGCATGATGAATTACTTCCTTAGACCATCTCATTTCTTAGTTGGGAAATACAACTATATTTTTAAATGTACCTTTTAAATATCGGAAATTTTTTTATTAGGACAACCTTATGGAAGAGTGTTCTGTTTATTGGCACATACACACCTACCTCCATCACTGCTTTTTTTTTTTTTTCTTCCCCCCAACTGGCAATATCCTTCATGAAAAAAATAAATGACAGATTTCAAGGGAAAAGGAAGTGGTATGGATTGCTTGAAAGTTTTCCTGAAGCTCCATATTTTTAAACATGTAGTTCTGCTAATGGTATTTTATAGAAGAGTAGGTTGACATCTAAATCATGCAGCAAAAGCCCTGAGATCAGTTCAGCCACATGGGATCCTAACCGCCCTTCGCACCGAGCCGTATGGCTTTGCACATGACGCAAACAAATAAATGGAACATTCAGACATTCTGATGGTAAAATAGTATTTAGCAGGTTGAAATGTTTTCTGGATATTTCAAATTCTTGGAGGATCAGCAAAGACTGTGGAGCTGGGAGTTCAGTAATAGTGCTGAAAATCCAGATAAAGTTAATAATGTAATGAACAGATTTGACCTTCCAGTTCACATCTGTCTGCAAGTCACTAGAAATTATTTATACTTCATGGTTGCCATGGCACAGTAAGACCAGATAAAGTGCTGAATGTCTGCAACAGCTGTTATAACAACAGATTAGCTGTTAGCACAGATGCTATTAGCACAGATGGAGCTGTCTGAGAATCCAGCCAAAATCATTTGATCATTCAATTCTAGGTTCCTGGAGCTGGGCTCCAGAAGAGGACAGTTTTAAATATTTAAATGTAGAATTGAAGAAAAAAGCTGTTTTAGTCTAGGTAGCTACTGTGATCTACTAGTTATAACTGTGGAGTGAATTGATACTGTCGACTCGATGAGATTTATCTTTAAAAGATCTTGGTAAGGCACTTATTTTTTTTAGGGTTAGTTTAGAAGTAAACCATGTGAATACTACAGCTCCTCGCTCACAAGACCGCCTTGTGTTCCTCTCCCAATATGGCGGAGGGGTTAACGTATTGCTTCAACGGATTTGGGAGGATTTGCAACGTATTGCTGCGTCTCACTGATACGTGAGGAACATCGGGACAGGAGCCATCATCGGTCACCAAGCTTCGCCACATAAAGGTTGAGGCGTTGCCCCGCACCGCTCTGGGATAAATCACCATCTGTAGCCATGTCTGGCAGAGGGAAGACCGGAGGCAAAGCCAGGGCCAAGGCCAAGTCTCGTTCCTCTCGAGCCGGACTCCAGTTCCCGGTTGGTCGAGTCCACAGACTTCTGCGCAAAGGGAACTACGCGGAGCGCGTTGGCGCCGGAGCCCCGGTGTATCTGGCGGCGGTGCTGGAGTATTTGACCGCCGAGATCCTGGAGCTGGCAGGCAACGCGGCGAGGGACAACAAGAAGACCCGGATCATCCCCCGCCACCTGCAGCTTGCCGTGCGCAACGACGAGGAGCTCAACAAACTGCTGGGAGGTGTGACCATCGCTCAAGGGGGGGTCCTGCCCAACATCCAGGCTGTCCTCCTCCCGAAAAAAACCGAGAAACCGGTCAAGAGCAAGTGACCGATTTCTCGGTCTCGATGTACTGGAGCTACCGCTTTTATATAACTGTCTTTCGAATTAGAGGCGACGCTTCGGTTTCTGCTGTTTTCTCTAATAAACTGCTTCTTGCTTGAGATGCTGTGGAACAAACCTTTCTTTTTAAGCAGTCTTGAACGGTGATTTTGAACAGCTCTGATGTAAGCTCATTTTGGATGTCTTGTTTATTTGTGGTGCTTTCATTAAAAAGTGTTTGAACTAATTTTTTATTCTATTTATTTTTTTTGGCTGTTTTTGTCTTACGGCTATTTACAGATTGAGGCCGCAGACTCCCATAAATCCATACGCAGTGTTCGCTCCCTTTTTTCCACCCTGACACATTTCCAGAAGCCTTGTCAGTTCTGCCATTTCATCTGTATGCCTCTCAGCTTCTGTTTCAAAATAAAAACATAAATACCAACTGTATCATGCTCACCAATTTTGTTTATGTATTTCAATTGTTCTTTAAAAACAATTATAAGGTATTTGGTTGTTCTAAAGTAGCAGACCAATATAAATACACGGAGATCGAAGAATGTCACTGCAAATATACTTGTCTAAACATTTTATAGTTAGCATAGCTGTTTTATGAAGTTCACACATCACCATAATTTACAATAATAAACAGTAAAATCTGACTACTTCCTGGTGTATAGTGCCATTAAACACATTTACATGAAGGTTTTACCCTTTTGTCTCCAAATCCAGCCAGCCCATTTGTCACTGCAGGGTTGCGGGGAGGCTGCTGGTACATCTCCATCAGAAACTGAAACAACTGGCTGACAACCCAAGGGACAATGGTGAAATTTGATGTTTCTGATTTAGCATTATTATAATACCTGTATATTACTGTAAATTAAATTACAGCAAATTAACGGTAGAAGTAAATGTTAGGCAAGACATTTATTATTACAGTTCATGGTATGGCCTGTCTGCTTGCTCTGTTTCCCTCCTCACCAGTTCTTTTGATTTTTATTGGCGGATGGCAACCAACTTAAGGTGCATTTACTGCCACCTAACAGAGTGGAGTGTGGTCATTAATGATCTCAGAGGGAATAAATTAATACACACCTCAATGGTATGCACAAATGTACAAATTCACATCCATACACACTCGTATATGAATGTGTGTGTATAAGCATATGCATACACACATACATACATACTTTAAATACAATTAAACAACCCAGTGTTTTTTAAAAATCTAATTGATTCCTAACAGAATTTGATTTATTTCTTAAAAGATTTATCATAGAAAATCCTTTTTTCTTTCTATTTAGCATTGACTTTAAGTGCTGACGTTCCTTTGAATACTTATTACATTCTAATAAAACATGTTCCACTGTTTCCATTTGATTACAATAATTACAAATCCCTGTTTTATGTTTCCCTATTCTAAAAAGAGAACTATTAAGTCCAGTATGACTAATTCTAAGTTGAGATATTTCTTCTTTCCCCCTTCCATTCATGCAACTATTACCACCCACAGTCTTTTGAATTTTATATAAATCTCTATCAGTCATGATTATCCCATTATTCCTACCAACCCTTAAGGATTTTACTTTGAATAATAGATTACCCCTCACTTTTGCTTGCCCTGGTAGAATGCTGTTGACTGCTCAAGGAGGAACAGCTCATCCTGCTCTCTTTTGTCCTTACTGATAAATCTGCCTGTGGATTATTTTTAAAGTGACAGTTTTTATAGTTATATTTACATTATTGATATCTTAACTGGATGAGCTGCACCGAGCAGCTCACCCTGGAACGCTCTGGGTGCCAAGCCGAAACGGGAATCTCGCACTGCGGATTCGATGAGACGACTATCAGGTAGAACCGTCCAGGTGGACGAATCAGCGTGGCCGGCTCTGAGCCGAAACCCACCTTCAACTTCAACACCTGCTCCGCCAAAGAAAGACAAACAAGCAGCTGCAACCAAAACGCCTCCACCGACCCCGCTGACCCCGCTGACCCCGCTGACCCAGCTCCCAGGGACAAAGCAACCAGCAAGAGCCTCAAAACATTCTGACTCTGTGGGAATCCCACTGAAAAACTGATTTTCTGCACTCCAGCCTGAGCCTCTGAGTGAAACTTTGCCTTCAAACATCAACAATGAGGCAAGACCAACACATCCATCCCCCAAAGCTCCAAAGGACAAAGTGACCACCAGGAAAACAAAAGGCGTCCCAAAAGTGCTTATTGTTGGACATGAGTCAGTAAAGGGAATCAGTGATGTTTGCAATCCAAGGAAAACAAGAGTGATGTATTTTCCTGGTGACACTGTATTTGATTTAACCAACAAACTGCTTTCTCTAACCACTGATCAGCCAGATATTAAGACTTTAGTTGTGCATGTTGGAGCCAACAATCTGGCAAAGCAAAAGTCTGAGATTCTGAAAAAGGACTTTAATATTCTTCTGAACACTATGGGAAAATTAAAAATGAAGTTATTTCTCAGTGGTCCATTCCATCACCTCAATAGGGAGACGAAAAACACTCCAGGCTGCTCACGATCAACAAATGGCTGATTAAAAGCTGCTCTACCAGTTCAGTGACCTTCATGATAACCTCTGGATCTATTGGCAGCGCTTTCTCCTTTTTGGAAGAGGAGGATGCAATCTTAATAAACATGGGATAAAGCTACTCACTGCAAACCTTTTTTGTTTTATCAACAAGGACAGCAACAGGATCATCGCGTCAGAAGAACAGGCTCACGGATGTCTGACTAGGATGGAGCCCGCCGCATATCAGGAGGATAATATTCCAAAACAAGCTGATAAATCGACTGGAGATGGAGCGACTGCTTCCCTTGCTCCTCCCCCCTCCCTCTCTGCTCCTCCAATCATTCACAGGATTCATTAGATACCAATGAAGAAATCTCTTCTAGACCAGAGTTTCTTAAATTTACAGATGGAATGAATCAACAGGTTCGCCTCGGTACGTCTCTTCTTAGCGCTCAGTAGCAGACCTCACTACATTTAAGCCGCCTGCTCCTGACTTTCCAGAGGATCCATCACTTTGCATTTCTGAGGTCTGAGGCCGGGGACCAGATATTATTTTTATACCTGTCTCCATCCAGAATGTGTCTGGCCCCCGGGTTCTGCAGAACAGGACATTACCTGTCCAGATCACTTCAAGAAAATTTACAAAAACCAGAAATATGAAACACAGCGGTCCTAATTTACAATATGAAACAAAAGAGTGCCTAAAGGAAAGAATACAAGTCACAAGTAGTTCTTTTAAATACCGGATCACTCTGTGCTAAAGCTCTATTGATTAATGATTTCATCACTGAGTATAATGTTGATGTCTCTGACAGAAACATGGTTGAATGACGATAATGACCAAATTGTACTAATTGAATCAGCGCCTCCTAACTAAGTTTTTTTAAGTGAGAATAGAAAACATAAAAAGAAGGAGGCGTGGCTTCAATATTTAAGAAAACCATAAATTGTAGTAAAATGTCTTTGGGTCATTTCACCTCTTTTGAGTATCTTGGAATTCAGGTTAAAGGCTACTGTTGGAGAAATTGTGATATTATTAGTCAATATTTGTTATTCTCATATAATCTTACAGTAGTATCTTCTTTTATGCTTTTATTGTTTAAGCTCCTTATAGGATTAAGAATGTTTCTATATTGTTGATTTGCTCTGATTCCTTTCTTAGAAGGCCTCACTGATGGAAAGCAGAGACAATGTTTTCCTGAAGGGTTATCTCTTGACCAGGAGCTCTGCTTCGTTGAGTTGCTGGATTGCAATAAAACTGTCACTGTGAAGATTCACTACATATTCTGCTAGACTTTGTGTCTGGAACGAGATTACCTAGTGCAAGATAATTTGTGTATTAGTTAGTAAATGACAACTGACGCAGTAGCTATGTGATGAGTTGGTTTCCGCTCCCTTTAGAGTTACAGCGTCCTTGTGATTAGGGATCCTGAAACAATAAAAGGAGAGGAGCCGACAAATATGCTTCAGAGCAGTAGGAGATTGTAACTAAACAAAACATGGGTTAAAGCTGGACCATCAAGAGACCGTTCTGTTTCACATCCTTCTTAAATTCTCATACATGTTTATAATTGTTATGTTGTGAAATATACCTTGCTCATTTTTAACTTAAAAACTTTGTCTGTAAAAACAGAAGTCTGTCTTCAGATGTCATCTAGACCATGGACAGAATTTGTTGGCAGTGATACTGAGGTGAGACGTTATGATGGGACACTTGTGGTTCTTCAGAGCTACAAGACTGCTTATTTCCAACCATTTCTGCTTTAAATGTTAATAATCAACACTGCAGGTAGGCTGTTGTCCTTTACCTGAATTTTGTTGTTAAAGTAATGACACATTATTTTTCTTCCCCCTTTTTGAATTTTCTCGTAAAAACCACAGGGATTGCCGAAAAAAGGACTGTCCAACAACTGTGGAATGTTTGTAGTGATGGTAACATCTGCTTCCACCCACCATATTGTTGTATGGTTTGTATAGACATAATAATACAATTTTTCTGAACAGTATCCAGTGTACTTTGTGATGGGAGCATCATTAGATGTCAGCAAGGTAAGAAAACAGATGAGAGTCGATGCTTTCTGTTGGAGATTTCATTAAATGTGAACCTGTGATGTCCACAGAATGATATAATGACAATACGAAGATGGTGGTTTCTCACTCTCTTGACAAAATTCCCTATGAATTAAGAACAATAATGGTGCACTGTACCACATCATGTTACATATATGTCAGTTGTTTTTTTTAAGAAAACCTTCAATTTGTCCTTTTTAAAAGGTCCAGAGAAGAACTACTAAAGGAGAGAAAGCGGAAAAAAGTTGATGAGAGGGCAAAAGGTAAGCTGAAGCTAAAATTCATCACTTTGTAGTTTCGAATCATGTAACTTGTAATATGTCCATCCTCAGTGCACTTCTGTAAGTCTGAAAGAAAATCAGGATATAACAATTGAAAGGGTTGAAGCTGTTTTGATGTTATTTTAACTTGCATTCATCTTTCATTTAGAAAATATCTATATTTTTACTGTATTATCTAAATATTACTGTATTAATATTTTGATGACCACACCTATGCCAAAGCAACCGAGCCACAAATTGAGGTTAACTTTTCAAATTTACACATAACTAGTCATTTTGATTTGTATCTTTTTGTGTAAGTGACACTAAAACCCTAAATTGTTATTTTTTTGGACAGCATTTTAATACCATCAGAGATGGAAAGGATAAGATACTAAGTCTTAATTATTGTTTAATGCTCTTCACCATGCAGGTTCAAAGGATACCGCCAAACTTGCAGGTAAGATTCATTCATAATTATGTGTCATAGCCATTCTTCCGGGATGACAGTATTGCAATGCACCTGTTTTTTTAAAAAAATATTATTTTCAGAAGCCTTTGAATATACTTGAAGCTGTTCTTCAGAAGGTGATGC